AATTCTTGCTTTGGATGAAAGCAAGAAAATCGGTATGTTTGTAATATTTCAGTTGAAATGGAGGCTTTGGCATACTAATAAAACCGAGCTGCTTAAACCTCCATGGTGAAGGGTGCAGTTCAGCTAATTTTAAAATAGTGATGTTAGCTTTTAAAGCATGGCCATGTCAGAAGTAAAAAGTGAATGTGATTATTTTAGAAGTTCATTAATTCTGGATGTTCAGTTTAACTTGTTCTGGTGCTCTTTCAGAATGATGACATTGAGACTGATATTAATAAACTGAAACCTAGACAGGAATTGGGAAGACCCATAGAAGAACTGAAAATGTATGAGCAATTTTTCCCAGAACTTTCAGAAAACTTTCAGGTAAAGTATTTGATTCCCAGTGCATTCCTTGTCATGATGGGTTGACTCTGGAATACACTTTGACAGGTTTTTTTTGGTGGATAGTTCCTCTAGCCAAAAAATGAGGGGCTGCAGTTCTAGAGCTGCGTATGAGAGTGCTATATAATGAGTTATTTAGTTAAATGTTATGGATTACTTCAGTCTGACTGAGAAGGGGACTGTGGGCAGATACAAAGGAAGACTCTTTTCTGATGTCTGATTATTGCACACAGCAAAAAGTAACATAGTAAGAAAGGACGTGAGATTTCTGACAAAGATTCATTGTATTAGGTATTTCCTTAAATGCTGTGCACCTCTTTAAAGTAGTTGGTTAAAATATCTTTGGAATCGCATTGACTTCATAATTTGTTATTGATGAACTTGTTTACTGCTTTGACACTATCTTCTTGCAAAAACTGAAACTTCATTGCTATGTTTATGTAAGTTTAAAACATAATAACTGTTGTCTTTTAAATGACACTTACTTTAGATTATTGCAAAACATACCTCAGGAACAATGAAAGCGAAAAACTTCTAATATAAATGAAAATTTAGGAACTGTTTACTTTTTTTTTTTAAAATACATCTTTTTATTATTTTTTCTCCTCTATTTTTTAAGGAATGTGACTTAGTTTCCAAGGAACCAAAGCCTTTTGTACCTGATGCAAATCTGGGTGGACCTATTGTTGTTCCTACAGCAGGAGAGGAGCGCTCTGCTGAAGCAAACCAGTCAACAAAAGGAGTTGCATTGAAGGAGAGCAATCCTTTGTTGACAGAGGAATACAATAGAAGGCCAGCCTTTCTGGAACTACCAAAGAAAGATAGTATCAAAGACAGTAGTTTACATCAGCAAAATGATCAAAGAAATCTGCTTCCATCATGCCAGTGTCTAAGCCAAGAAATTGTGAAAGGCTTGGACAGAATCAGTCTGCAGAACAGTGCGAAAAATGATCAGTATTATGGTACAGGGTGTGTAATAAAGAAGGAAAGCAAAACTAGCCTTCCCACACTTGCTTGTACTAAACCTTGCGAACATGTTTCACCTTGTGGAAGTAGCCTCTTTGAAGGATCATCTGTCCAGCTGGGAAAACTTTGCTGCACTGGAGTGGATTCAGAGGAGGAGGATTCCGGATCTAGTTCATCAGGGGAACAAGTCGTGCTTGAGGTTTCTGACATATCACCAGTTCATGACTGTGATCTTTATATTGAAATGGTAAAAAACACAAAATCTGTTCCTGAATATTCAGAAGTGGCATATCCAGATTATTTTGGCCATATTCCACCCCCATTTAAGGAGCCTATTCTGGAAAGGCCATATGGGGTACAGAGGTGAGTTACCATACTCCTTTTTTGTTGTTGTTTTCATTCCCATGAGAAACAATCTTTAGGATGAGATTAACAGACACGTATACAATGTTTACTTTGGCATCTAAAACTATTTTCAGTGAAAAGCAGTTTGAAGGCAGATGAGTAGGCATTGATCAATGCATAGCCATAAACAAGAATACAAGCTGATTCTGTAATTCAGTTTCTAAATACTAAGTTTAATTTATAGACTCCCTTTCTGCCTTCCCACCATCCCCCATCTGAATTTTGTAGTTTGTAAAAAAAAAAAAAAAAAAAAAAAAAAAAAAAAAAAACACAACACCAAAACCAAAACAAAAAAAAACAACCAAAAAACAAAAACCAAATAAAACAACCCACAAAACCCCCCAACAAACAAACAAAAAACCTCACCTGAACGTCCCTTCAGGTCTTAGCAAAGATAGGACAGTTAATAGTTTAAAGATACTTCAACTCTTCTCTTTCCTGTGCTAACAAAGCTATCTTTTAGGAAAATGTAGTGGGAAAAATTAAAAAATTAATACACTTAAGTGTTTGTTTTTAGTGTTTGCAGTATAACAGAATTTAGAGGTAACAAATGCTGAGGATGCAGTTTGTGTTAGGTCCTGCAGAATGACACACAATAAACACAGAATGAAAAATAAAACAAACCAGCAAAACCCAACACATTGACACACCCATTTATTTCTTCGCTGAGAGATACTAGAAGGCAATGAAGGGTGATGTGACTCTTAAGAATAATTTGCACAGGTGGTATGAAGAGCTGGCTCATGCATAGTAAGTTACTGTAAAGACAAATGAGTATGTTAGCAGAACGTGTAATAGTAGGTATGAGAACTTGCCACTTGCTTAATTAGATTGAATGCTTTCGGCTTTATCCTTATAACTTTAACCAGTTTCATGAGATTCTTCATATTTACATGTAGTTATTAAGATGATTGAGTGTCTTTAGGTTGTATAATTAAAACCCGTTAGCTGTTTCACACGTGTTGTAAAAAATTCATCTTTCTAGTGAAATGACAGTGTTGAAACACTAATGATGTAATGAATATACCGTTACTAGAAAGCACCATTCAGTGTTGAAGGAGGAGAATCTTCCCTACAAGCTTATTTTAGATAGATTCCGCTGATTTAGAAGGAAGATAGTCTTGAATCAGAAATCACCTAAGAACTGCATTTTAAGAAAATCTTGCAAATCTTCATGTATGTTTTTGTAGTACTTAAGAATTCTGAATTTTCCAGAGTAAAATTCAGTGAAGTCAGGTAAAATTTGTCATTCCAGTGCTCGTTCTTCTTAGATATAAAGCACTGTATTAACTCTGACTTTTAGCCAACAAACCTACTTGTGTGGTTATACATAAAGCTGATTTCTAAACCATGAAGGTAATTCTAGAGTATATTTTATCTCAACTTTAAAATGTTTTATTTTTGTTGTATTTTCTATGTCAAAAGTAATTTTTTTAGGTCTTTGTGAAACAAGAATGAAATATCAGGTAATATTGCTAAACTTGAATCAAAAATCCTGCATCAACTTTTTAAGGTACACTGTTCTAAGAATTCAGTTTTCTACAAATGAGTCAGTCTTGTACTGCAATGTAACAAATTTCTGAGAAGGGAACCTGTTTAAAAAGGGCTTAGTCTTTTTAGGAATTTATAGGAAGGTGGTGAAAATGAGTTTGGTAGGGGACATGGAGAAGCTTTTAAGTCTTCTACAAAGCTGTGTGCCAAACTCTTTTGGCATTCAGTGGGATTTATGTTCTCCTTAATGTAAGCAGTTAGTTAGTGCTCATCAGTTAAGTCTTCTTTAGAAAACAAATGGTTGCCTTAATCCATCCTTGTAATTTAAGAAAATGTTGTGGGGGGCTGAGGTGGGGAGTTAGTGGGTTTTCTTTTTACTTTTATTAGACAAATGTGGTGTGGGGCTTTGGGGGGTTTAGTCTTTTGCAATATGCTAGGAGATGATATGTTTCTGAATTTGTGCTTTGGAGTGCTTTTGCTTTTTCATTTACATTCAGTAACATGTAATTTTCACCAGATGTCTCACCAAATTATTATTGTTTGGAAAAATGTCATTGAGAATAACTGAAGTGTTTTATATTATTCTACCTTTTAGGGAAGAAAATTATTATATAATTCAATACCCTATAAATTCGGGTTTAAATTCCTACTTTTTTCCATTCCTTAAGATTTTAAGTTGTTTTTTTGGTGTACATTTTAGTATTTTTTAATCACTTTAGTATTTTCTAGTCATCTGACACTTAGAAGTGATCATCAGGTAAATCAGGATCCACAAAGGAGTGCCCTGTAAACACAGAGCTCCACATCAACAGTGTTGGTTTTATATTTTTTCCTTTAATTATCTTGAAATAGCTTCTCTTTTGTCTTGATTTTTTGGAACCTGAAAATGTCCATTTCCTTTTCGTGTGGATCTTGAATACCATTTCTTCTTTCCTTTTGTCTACATTGGTTATTACTATGCTATTTGAATGCCTGATATTCATTAATGGATTTTGTCTTAGCAAAACTCCTGTGATGATGGGAAGTATTATGACCCTGTAGAGCTGAGGGTATACTATATATAAGGAGTTGTGTAAGGTCAAGGGCAAGATCAAAAATCAGTAGTTCTGCCCTGAGCTGAACCTGATCAGATAGATTGTGGTGAGTCAGCCTTTTTACAATTTTGTCAGTACATTGGACTTGTGACTTGTTTTCTTCTCCAGTTAGTTTTAATTTAATAAGAGGTGCTAGACTTGTGCACTTACCTTCTTTTTCTCATTCGTTAACAATATTTATTTTAGTTAAATGGAGAATTTCCAGCCTGAACGTACTTTACCGCTCTGTTCCTATATTCTTCATTGTTAATCTGCCTCCTTTTCTTCTTATTGCAGGTGCTGTGCAAGCTTTTCCACACAGCTCTGCCACTATATTTCATTCTTGATCTGCAACACATTCTTACTTTTCCAAACCAGGACCTAGATACTGCCAGTTGTGCAATGGTTTTATGATCTGGATAAACATACACCTGACATTTGGCTGACATCACCAAATTCATTCTTATTTGTTACCTAGTCGATAAATGAACCTAGATCTCCAGAGGTGAAAAGCTAGTGCACTAACACACTCACTGCACGACCTACTCTCTAAAACTCTTTGATTTTAGTTATGGTAGGACTCCTGTAAATTACTAATGTTATCAAGTGCTGTCCTGGATTAAAGCATTAACATAAGTAATGTTTGAGTAATTCGTGCTTCTACTATAAAGTATGCAATGGTGCATTTTTTTCCATAAGATAAAACCCAGTGGGTTATGTGCATGAAAACTCAGTTCCCTCACATACAAATATTGAACTCAGTCAGCTGTGAATGCAGGTGTTTAAAGTTAAGTACACTTACAGTTTGCGCACATAAGTGGGGGTGAGGCTGAGGACTCTCTGAAAATCTGTCCCACTGTCTTCTTGTCAAGTTTGTTAGTTTTCATTGTTGTATGAGGTAATTCCTCTTTTGTAATTGGAAAGCGTTTCGAACAATTTAAATGAGAACTCTGCTTTTTATTTTAGGACGAAAATCTCTCAAGATATTGAAAGACTGATTCATCAAAATGACATTATAGACAGAGTTGTGTATGACCTTGATAATTTGAAGTAAGATTTTACTCTTCTGGAAACAATATTCAGCAAATACTCTAAGTCTGTTCTACGTTCTCTGTGGTATGATTAGTAATATTTAAATCAGTACTATTATGACAGACTTCAATGAAAGTTTCATCTGATGTAACACTGTTTCTGCTATCCAGGCTGTATTTAGAGGATGGTTCAAAATAATTTATGAATTACCAAGTGAGGGCTAAAGTAAACTTAATGAATTTGTTTTAGATAAGTTTGTTTTACTAATTTTGGTCCCTTTCCTTTTTCTACTCATAGTTGTTCGGTACCAGAGGAAGCAGATGTTTTGAAGTTTAATTCCAAATTTGAATCTGGAAACTTGCGCAAAGTTATTCAGATCAGAAAGTAAGATATTTCAACTCTTCTTTTCACACATAAGGCCTTTTATTTCTGCTTCTTAAAAAAAGATTGATTTGTTTTTGTTAATCTTTAGAAATGAGTATGATCTAATTCTGAACTCGGATATAAATAGCAATCACTATCATCAATGGTTTTACTTTGAAGTCAGTGGAATGAAAACTGGCATTGGTTACCGGTTTAACATCATCAACTGTGAAAAGTCAAACAGTCAGTTTAATTACGGTAAGATATATTTCCCATGCTTTGAGAAGAAATACGTAGAAAAATATCTGTACTAGACAGCTCAGCTGTTTCCTTCCTTCTGCCCCGGGATCGGTAGTATGGTCATGTTGTCAGATCAGATTCTTTTTTAATAGTATTACTAGAAAATGTTTTGACAAGTTTCAGTTAAAAAAAAAAAAAAAGTATCTTAAAACACTGGCTGTCAGTTTTTAAAATGAAGTTTTGTTGTAAGTGAGGCCAAAGCAGAAGAAACTTATTGCTGGCTGCAGGTAAAATTTGTCCTAAGACCATTTTGGGGGGGACAACACCAAAGGCTGTTGATCCACACAGGTGCAAGAAGAATGACAGCTGTCATCATTAATCCCTTTCTGAACAGAGGTGTATTTTCAGATATGGAAGTAAGCAGAGACATTCGTAAACAGTTTAGTCTTATTGATGTGAAGAGAGGCACATTATCTGAGAAAGAAATGAAATGTTGGGCTTCATAGGTGACCCTTGCAGTCTCTGAGGAGTAGTGTTTGCTGCTTGTACCTCATCCAACAGTACTGGCTTACTGAATATGCCTTTCTTCCACTTGTCTGGGGGGAGCGCGCGGGAGGGGGTGTCGTTCAGCTTAAAACCATTTGTGTTGTGAGGTTTTTTTTCCCTGCTGGATTTTCTGAAACTCTTCCTTTAAGAAGAAGGAGGAGAAGCTCCCCTCTCCTGTGCCAACCTCAAAACTCTTGCGACAGAGTAACATCGTATTCTTCTTTGTCATAATTGTACAATTCACATTGACAAAATCCAAGAATACCAGGTAGTTTGGCCAGTAATAAGATGCTTTTAAATTATTTACTAATCAGTTACCTTAGATCTTCATTCATATGTTGCATATACTTACCTGATAGTTACTTTTGGTTTTTTAAGTACACTGACTGAATCAATCAATTTATATGGCTAATTATCTAACTAGTAAATAATGTTCAATTAATATGTATTATTTTCTATTCTAACTTCATATTAAATATTCAACTTAAGTATACTCTCCAAAAAATAGAAACTTTAAAGAGATACTGTTTTTAAAAAAAAAAAAAATTGTCCTGAAACATCAGTTATTTTCCAACTATCCAGGTGAATGGATGATAGTATCAATTTTTTATATTCTTTTTGAAGCCTTTTTGTAATGGTGAGTTGGATGGAGTGTGACCCAAGATTTCTTGTAGATTACCATTCATACTAAGCACAGCTTTCATTTAAACGTTTCATTTTGGTCTTCTGTAGGTGTGATTCTTTTTTTCTTTAATTTGTTATTTTCTGAAAATTAGGACCTGATGAGGGGAGAGGGGGAAGAATCTTTTGTGACCTGGTTGAAAGGGTGTACAATACCCAGGCATTTATGAAAACACACTGTATGATAGTAAATGAGTGTAGGTAGTTCAGAGACTTGCATGTAAGTGTTGATATGGTCCATTACTGCTAAGATCCTGATGTTTAATGTTAAACATTAGTGTGAGATGCATTTTTTTCTTTTAAGGTATGCAGCCCCTCATGTACTCTGTTCAAGAAGCATTAAATTCTCGACCATGTTGAATAGGGACAGAGTTACTATAAGTAAGTACACCAATCAAACATACAGCAAATCATGCACTGAAGACTAATATGAGGTACAATTTTTGAGAAGAAATGTTTGCTTCTGAGTTTGATAATTCTATTTTAATAGTTCTGTTGTGAACAGGGTTTTCTTCCTGAGATGCTATGGAGAGTAACAGAAGTGATCGAAATATATAGGGTCTTATTTTGTTAGCACACTGCTAATAACACCAATCAAACATACAGCAAATCATGCACTGAAGACTAATATGAGGTACAATTTTTGAGAAGAAATGTTTGCTTCTGAGTTTGATAATTCTATTTTAATAGTTCTGTTGTGAACAGGGTTTTCTTCCTGAGATGCTATGGAGAGTAACAGAAGTGATCGAAATATATAGGGTCTTATTTTGTTAGCACACTGCTAATATTTAAGCTGTTGATCTTTTATGCTTATGTCAGAAATTGCATACTATTCCAGAGAAACTTTTAAGGGAATGTAACACGCTCACTTGAAATCTTAATAGTGACTTCCAGTAATACTGATCCCGTGGTGCTTGTGATTAGGCTCCTGTATTCTGTGGTACAATCATTGTAGAGCAATCCTGGAACACAGGATGAGATGGTACAGCATATCCATGCGTTCACCATTCTTAGTCGACAATTGTTTGCTTCCCCTCCCTTTTTTTTTTTGTTGTTGTTGTTTTGGTTTGTTACTTGGTTTTGTTTACTCTCCTTATCCCAATATGAATGAATGTGTATCACTGCTATAATAAAGTGTCTTTACAGATGGTGGGAACCAATGTATTTAACCTGGATGTACGCAGAAGAGAAATACAATCACTAAAAATCTTCCTGGCTCTTAGAATGTGTGTTCAGGAATAATCAATGATATGAAAAAAAATTATTCTAATGTGTATGTGTTTACCTTCATTTTACTCTTAGGAATCACTTTTCAAGAAGTTCAATTGCTGCTGGAGGTCAGAAAGGAAAATCTTACTACACAATTACGTTCACAGTGACTTTCCAACATAAAGATGATGTCTGCTACTTTGCTTACCATTATCCATATACATATTCAACTTTAAAGGTGAGAAGATTATGATCTGTTACATAGATAAATACTTATACTTTTGGACAATGTGAAACATAAGCATTCGTGAGTGAATTCTTTTTATTTCTTTTTGTAAAGTTCAAAATGCTCCTTAAAATGGAGAATTTTCATAAAATATTAGTGTGGCTGGCAAAGAGTGTACATTGTTCTAAAGAACAGTCCCTGGAAAAATAAAGTTGATACTTACTTGCAGCTAAATGGGTTTTCTCGGAATCATAATTCCTAACTGACTGGAAACATGCTAATTGGATGAAGTATTTGTGTTTGAGTCAAATGACTCTCATCTTGCTGTTCTACATATACCTCTTCAAAACTGACCTATTCGAATTACTATATTTAAGATAATTAGAGACCTTTTTAGGATAATGAATTGGCTAAAGAAGTGTTGTGAAGCTTTTAGTACTAAGCAAAACTCTTGGCTAGAATGTCTATTGGTTGTTTCTGTCACAGCAATAAAAGCAAACTTGGGGATTCAGTGGCTGGTGCGAAACAGCACTGAATGAAGCTTTTTACTAAGCCATACGTGCTCTTGGAAGAAGTACCTGTTAAGGGATGTTATAAGCAACTGCGGCCTGCAGCAACGCTGGGGCCTGGTGGTTCCACCTGCCTGGCTGCTGGAGCCCAGCCAAGGGACCCAGGCATCTCTGTCCCAGGCTGATGGACATGGCTTCTGCTTTCCTGTTTGCTTGTAGGTTCAACTACTAGTGAGTCCGAGTGTGTATCCCAAAGAAACAGAGAGAGACTCCGGCACACACACTTGCACATCCCGCACCCCACCCCCACCAGCGTGGCTGGCTACACAGGCTGGGGAAGAGAAAGGACTGTGTAACACTGCCAGGACTTGCTTAAAGACACCCAAGTCCCTTTCCTCCTCTCCAGCTGGTAAGGGTTGCTGTTCACAAGTAAAAGTACACAGCCGCCCACTCTCTAGAATCACGCGCACACGCACATTTGTGGATGACTGGCATGGCCCATCTGTGCCATACCCCTGTCTGGATCCTGGTGTCTCCTACCTGCTGTGCAGGCCTCCAACTTGCAGGCTAGTCCAGGCTGATGCTCACTAGCAAACAGATGCGTGCACTCGCACACTCCTCTCACAGGCACCCTGCACTTCTGGCTCCCCCCAGATGCCAGCATGGACTCTCTGCCCATCTGACACCCCTTCCTCAACCTGGAGCCTCATGCTCGCTGGTTAGTCCACATTGAAGTTTGCTGGCAAATTGCATACGCACCCCCCCCATGCACACTAGCATATGCTTGCCCCCAGCAGCTGGTACCAGGTACATGGGTTCCTGCTCCCAGGAACAACCCATGTTCCTGCTCTAGGTGCTGGTACTGAGACACCCTCCCTTGTTTCACTCACCCTTATCACCCCACTAGCTGGTTTTTGGGACACACGCTGTTCTTGCCACAGTGGATGGACACCAAGACCCTTAGCCACTCCAATAGCTGGCACTGAGACCTCCTCTTGCTACCTTGGCTGACACCAGAGACCGAAGGGTGCCTACGCTGCGTACAGCTCCAGCTGCTGGCACCAAGTCCACTCGCTTCGATCCCAACAGTAGCTGGCACTGTGGTGCCCACAGAGATGCTCCGAAGAGGTGTGGTCTCTCCAACTACTGATGCTGAGACCCTTGCTCACTCCAGTTGCTGATCACAAATCCACTCACACCTGTCTTCTTAGCTGCACCTAGTCCACGCAGCACTTGCATGCGTGGGATAGAGAGTGAGGCCACACAGAGAGATAGCTAAGGGCAGACTGTAGGGATCAGCTGCATAAGTTTTGTATAGTCCCCCAGACCCCCTTTGAATATTCCAAATCCTCATGTTCCTCTTGTTTCCTCCTTGTCCCTCAGGTGGCCCTCTCCAAAGTTTTGTGTGTAGATTCTTAATGGCCCATCAGTTAGAGACTGGAGACTTCGGTCTTTGCTATTGTTTCTGCTATGTCTTGTCTACCAGGATTGTTTCTTTCTGTTCCTGTTTATTGCTTTTCCCTTTACTTGTTGTCCCCTTTTGCACTGAAAAGGTCCCTGATCAGATAACCTTAATGAAGCAGAAGTTCTTACCTTCCACATACCTTTACAGTATCATCTGGTAGAAAATAATGTATCCTCTGTGCCTTCATCTTCCTCGAAGCAGTTGGAAAAACAGGCTCTATAAAGGGAAGTATTCAGTCAGTCAGAGATGTAGAGAATGCTATTTCATGGTCAAAATTATGATGGAAACTTGAACATTGTTTAGAACAACAAAAAGAAAGATCGATCAAATAGTACCTGAGGAATACACTGTGATATGTGACTGCAAAAGATTTAAAGTATTTTTTCATTATTTTTGGAATGAAGATGCATCTTCAGAAGCTGGAATCTATGCACAACCCTCAACAGATATATTTTCGACAAGATGTTCTCTGTGAGACCCTAGCTGGCAACAGTTGTCCCTTAGTTACTATTACAGCCATGCCGGAGTCCAATTACTATGAACATATCTGTCAGTTCAGTAAGTATGACTTTTCTTTCTCATCAACTGAAAATAATGTAAAACTAGCTCTTTATGAAAAAAATCAGTATTAACTGTTGTGCATTGTAAAAATAGCAATGTAAAATAAGGTTATTGAATTTCATGAAATTAAGAGGTGTCAATATTCAGGATTTGCTTTGTATTTAGTAATATTTATTTGTGGTAGTTAAATAAGGATATTTATGTCTGGATATATAAGAGTATATGTATTCATATATTTTAAATCAGTTGCTAGATATTTTTGTATGTTACATTTTGCAGACAACACTTCTTGGAAAAGAATACCTGACTGCTGAGTAACTTTTTTCTCCAAATGCTCAGGTTATTTGCTTGTCAAAAAATCTTTCATAAAGCCAATATCTAAGCTACTGCAATTAGAAGTGAGCTTTAGTTGTGACAGCATTTCTGGTTTGTTCCTCCACCCCAGTATTTTTCTTGGCTATTGGAAAAAAGGCCATCAAAGTCATTGTATCATAATTGCCAGCTCAAACTAATTGTGACTGTATAATTGTCTGATTGAATTTAAAGCTGCTCCATTGTGAGAGTTTTGTAATTAGCAGTCCTTACAACAATATTCTGGCAAGCTTTATCAGTAATACTAATACTCAATAATACTCAACTCCCAAATACTGTATTTTGCGTTGTAATAAATGAACCTGGCTGTTGCCTCTTTTTTCAATTAACAAACTGTTTACTTAGCTTGAATCATGTTTTGCAACTTCTATGCATACTTCTTTTAGGGAATCGTCCTTACGTTTTCCTATCTGCTCGTGTACATCCTGGAGAGACTAATGCAAGCTGGGTTATGAAGGGAACGCTGGAATACCTTATGAGCAATAATCCAAGTGCCCAATGTTTACGAGAATCTTATATTTTCAAAATTATTCCCATGCTCAATCCAGATGGTGTCATCAGTGGAAAGTAAGCATAAGTTTACTCACAAATACGTAACCTGTACTACTAAGTCTTTGCATCTGTTATTTTAAAAAAAAAAAAAGCCTAAACTAATCCCGGAAACATACAAATGCATTACTTAATATGAAAAAAAACCACTTACAAAATTGCTAGGACTCTTCATTTTTTTGGCTTTTTAAAGGCAGATGCTCTGTTCCATACATTTCAGTTTTATAAAAAGTATTTTCAGCTGTTCCTGGATGATAATCATTCCTGTGTGATTTGACATGGCATTTTAATTGTATCTCTGAACTACAGTCTTGGGTAGGTGTAGAGTGTTATATGAGAGCACAGCTGCTTTTAGGAAAAACTAAACAAGTTCACAGTTCTCATGAAAAAGAACAGTTCTTGTATCGAGAAAGCTTTTAATGTAATTTTTTTCCCTCTTTTATTATAGTTTTTAGAAGGGTGTTATGGAAATGGCTGTTGTCAAATGTTATTAAAAGGGGGAAAGTTAATAGGTGTGCAAGAGAAAGGGTAAGAGAGTATCCTGATTTAATTAAAGTTACTAAAGGTAATTCTTTCACTTACTACCACTTTTCTTCATAAATTTAAGGGATATTTCAGAACCTTTTGATACTGCTGTGAGCATTCAGTAGTCTGTATTTACTTGGCTACAGGGAATTCATATGAAATGGAAATTTTGGTATGGTGAATCTACAGTTCCTTCTTACCTAGTTATGGGTAGTATTTTAAAAGGTTTTGTGAACAAAATAATAAAAATCAAACCGATTATGGATTTGAGTAGAACCCTGACTTTATATTTGGAAGAGCATGTATATAAAAGAACATCAGGAATTAAAACATTCAGAATACAAGTGGAAGTTTAATACAGGGACAATTAAGAAATCTGTCCCAGCAGACACAATCTAAAGACAAATGTACTGAAGATGACTGCTGCATGAACATGAATTTCTGCAAGTTTAAAAGTTCTTGCTGATAGTTGACTGAATACAGAGATGATCTTTATTTGTTTGCTGGGGTTTTTGTTGGGGTTTTTTTTTTTCTTTCTTGTTTTTTTTACAGCTATTTGTCTCCTAACAACTTCATGTTTCAAGTCTTAGATTTCTGTTTGACGATAGTCTTTGTATCGCAGAAGTCAAAACACTAAAACTGTAAAAATACCATATATTCAAAACTACTGATTTTGATCTAGCAAAATCTCACAAGCCTTCAGTTTCAACAGCAAATAAGCAAGATTACAACTGACTTCTTATGAGAAGCTAATTCTAATTTATTTTTAGGTTTTCTGTAACATAACTTAAAAAACCCCAAATACTTCTATTATTTGGCATGTTAGAAAACTGAAGTTTGTTTCTTGCCAGACTCCTTCCAAAGAAGCAGTGGTGATGAGGAAAACTCAAGGTGGGGGGGAGGCTTATTTATAAGTATGATAATACAGACTACATCATGCGTTTTTCCACCCCCCCACAATAGCCACCGTTGCTCTTTAAGTGGAGAAGATTTAAACAGACAGTGGCAAAACCCAAATCCAGATCTGCATCCCACTATTTACCATGCTAAAGGGTTACTGCAATATCTGGCTGCTATAAAACGTTTACCTTTGGTGAGTATGTGTGTGTAAGCAATTCTGAATCTTTTTAACCTTGTCCATGTAGCTAGTCTATAAAGTAAACATTTTAATATGGTCTTGTAAACTGTGTCACACTTAAATTTGACTTGGAGAACTGGTCTTCTGCAAACCTTTAGATCTAAATCTGTTTCCTTTGCTAGGGTAGAAGGTTAAACCTTCCTTAGATGAATCCTACGTTTTTTTTTCTTAATGCACAAGTTAATTATATGAGTTGTGTTTCCTAATTCTTTGGAACTTTCAACAGTACAAATAAAAATTCCATTTTTGTCCTTCTGTTACTTTTATAAAATGTTAATTCTATATGCCTTGGCTTTATTTTGCTAAATGATTCATTGTAGGTCTACTGTGATTATCATGGTCACTCTCGTAAAAAGAATGTATTTATGTATGGCTGCAGCATCAAAGAGACAATGTGGCACACAAATGTTAATGCTGCCTCTTGTGACCTGATGGAAGACCCTGGTTACAGGGTAAGTTTGTACCTTTTTCACTTGGCATGAATTTGGAATATACTTTTCAAATCACTTCCCAATATTATTCTGTGCACACAGTGACTTTATAGCATAAGCAGACTTATTTAGAATGATCTCTTTTTAGTTCATGAGTGTATTTCAAAGTATTTTGAAAGCTTTAAACTTTGTACACTAATACAGCTAAGGATTTGATGTTAGTAGAGTGCTTTATTTTTGTGGTCCTTGTACCAATATGTGCTTTCTTGTGTTCAAGATTACTATTATAGTGTATACATGGAAAATATGCTTCTGTGCACTTATAATTACTGGATGAAAAAAGAGTCATTTAAGCATGGCAAACAATATTCTAGCAACAAGAAAATAAAAATACTGAATTGCTCTGAGAAATACTTGTTTTTGTGTATGGAAATGGGCAAGATCCCTTTTACAAAGATGCGTAGTTAAGGCATGTGCCCTTAATACATATACATAATAAACTTGCACAAACAACATTCACTGCGTTGTATAAGCTTTCAAAAATTCCGAAAGATTTAGAGATTTAAACACGTAATCTTACTGTTTCTTCTGTGTAACTCCACTGCCGCCTTGTGGCAACTGCAAATCTGTGCAACCTAATGCGTCCAAACCCCGTGGTTTTTTGTGGAGATGCAGACTTAAGCTTGAAGAGCGTGTGAATGCACGTTAAAACGCTTGTTGTGCATCCGTGAGTGTAAATGAGTACAGATGCTTTCCGATTTTTTTCTCAAATCTCCCTCAATTTTCAAAAAAAATTCTATTGCTCTTTGATTTTCTTGTGTGATTTCCTGGATGCTGAGTCCAATGCCATTCACGTCTGCTGCCCAACACGTTTATATGGGGTTTTGTCACTTCAGCCTGTACAACCATAGCACACACAAGACAATAGTCAATAAGAGTTGTGGGGAAAAAGCCTTTTGGTTTCAAAATGGCGAATTGAAATATCTGGGCAAGCTTACACTGATAATGGTATATCTATTGCTAAAATAAATTCAAGTAAATTCAAAGTGGTCATGTGTTTTGGCTTAACTGGTGCAAATAAAAGCTGGAAAGAATGTAATCATTTAGCATTAGTCAAATGCTAAACATACATTTGCATAACTGTTTCTTGTCTTTTTCCAAAGCTGTCATGTAAACAGTTATATTGAACTTTGGTTCACGTTCTTGAAGTTAAATATGCACCTAGTGCTTTGCTGAATATGAATGAATTTTATATATTAATAAACTACTGACTGTGTTAGGTCTGCAGATGGGATTGTTGAAACAGTCTGAATTAAATTCATTAATTATATGGGGTATGTAGTACACTTAATTTGAGCAAAGTTAGCTTGGTGAATTAGGAGGAGATGGTGATCACCTGAAAAATTCTTTTGTATCCTGATTGTACCCACTTGACTAACATGTCATGTTAGTGATTGAATCTGAAAAAGAGGATTTTAATAAGTGGGAAATGGCAAACCTGTTGTCACTTGAACACACTGAGTTTTGAAAACTCAAGACGGAGAAATGTTTTAATTCTTGTTTTTTTAATTCAAATTGCAGCAAAATTTTCTGATAAGTCTGATTGAATATTCTCCTCCCCCCTGCTTTCATAAGTGAAATAAAAGAATCGCTGTATTTTTCAAATTGCTGTCCTGCAGGCACTCCCCAAGATCCTCAGTCAAACTGCCCCAGCATTCTGCATGGGCAGCTGCAGTTTCGTAGTGGAAAAGTCCAAGGAATCAACAGCGCGAGTTGTCGTCTGGAGAGAGATAGGAGTACAAAGGAGCTACACAATGGAAAGCACCTTATGTGGATGTGACCAGGGCAAATATAAGGTAAGAAAATGTATCCGTTAAACTGTTCTTGCTTTATAATTTTTTCCATTTGCATTGGTATCTTGTTCTATAACCCCACTTGCTTGCTTGATTTAAATTTCTAAAACTCCTCTAAGATCTCTGTGTACACTAATGTGAAATTACATAATTTACAATATTATAGGTTGCATAACAGTCTTCATCTGTCACTTAACCCCCCCCCCCACGTAGTATGTTATGCTTATTGGCTGTTTTAACAAGATTAGTATTAATTATTGCTTGTAACACCTATGTATGCATGTAGTTAAAAAAATCAGAACTGTTCTTTCCAGTGGATTATTAAAATTGGGTAGTAATAAATGCCAATACTAGAATAAAAATTTCCTTTACCACATGGCAATTTCAGACTTCACCGTGGCAGTTCATGGTTCTTCAGCAGATATTTAGTAGTGTTCCTTACAGAATTTTGTAGTTGCAGAAGCAGGCTTGTAAATCAAAACACTTTCATATCGGGTTACCAGAACTACAAATTACACATCTCTGAACTCATGATAGTTGTTTGACTTCTTGACTTAAAACTTGTTTTCATCTCCTTCAAAAGTGTTAACAGGGCTAGATATTTGAAAAAAAAAATGGTGACCCTGTTCGTCGTTTCTCACTGGTGGAAAACTTACTTCATAGAAAGTATTCGTAAGGAAAAAAAGGAGAACCACCACCCTAACATCTGATCTTCAGCTTCTGTCACTGGGTTGAATTTAGCTACATATTGAAGCAAGTTTTTAAAATGAACATTCATGGAAGAAGTCACAGTTTCCTCTGCTTGGAAATAGAGTTTAGGAATGCTAATCAAGAAAATGACCACAAGCCTGAAATAAGGTGCTTGACAAAAAGAGGATCAGAAGGCTGGGATCAAGGGCAGGGGGCAGAAACGAAAAAAAAAAAAAGTTGGAACAAGGTATATTTAATGTATTAATGTACGCTCCAACACCCGTGCTTATCTCCCTAGGCAGAAAGAAGACAGATATTTTGGCAGGAATTTCAGTAGGTCTGTAGCTACTAAATGAATGAGTTAATTTTGTCAGTTAACAACAGAAGCATTTCTGCTGTTGTCAGAATATTCCATTATTCCTCAGATGACATCATTATGGAGCTTTAAAAAATGATAACTCATCCCTCTTGCTTATTTTGAAACTTCCAGAATATTCTTACAAACATGAACTTTCATGGCTTTAGCAATGTTGCTACAGAAAGTTGTTAAGAAAGGTGAATTGAAGATGCTTTGTGGACAAACTTTCAAGATGCTTAACCTGCAAAGCTCTTCTTCAGTAAGGGAAGAAAAAAATGGCTGAATTCTGTGGAAAAATCATTTACTCAAAAGGGAAGAGCATTATTCTATGTAATATAAACTATCTGATGAGATCAAATTGCTGTTCTGTCATTCATTTTATTTGGAGTAAAACAGTTTGTGAGATCTTAGTCATCCTTTGAACATACAGGAAGATTCTTCATTTTTTCTTCACTATGATAATGCTCAGACTTATTAAGAAAATGTATCGAAAAGGCCAAGGTGACTAGACATAATGAGAAAAGATGAACATTTCTCCAATGAGAATGTCAAAGAGATGAAAAGGCTCAGTCTTTTTTTTTTTTTCTTCCGTGGAGGGAGTGGGGCCAGCAACTCTGTGAATAAACTTGTGGTATAAATTAGATGACATATTTCATAATATGTTATTTCAAAACACAGAGAGGAGTTAAACTGTAGAAATTCCCTACCCTCCTACTTCCCACCGCAAAGGACATGACGCTCAGATCTGAGGGACTGTGTATCGTGTAAAGGTCTGAAGCACTTTTCCAGTCTTTTTCTGGTTTGGCATCATCACTGAATTTTGTTCAAAGCACAAAGAGGATTAGTCAACACTTCTGTTCTTTGTGGAAGAAATGCTGAATCTTTGCCAAAGCTGGATAATACCAGAACATCAATTTTTCTTTTTATTATTTTTTATTTTACTCAGACAATGAGTAAAATGAATGCTAGACCATTTCCAGGCAGGAAGCAGTTGAACTGAAGTTAGCAATTCTTACCTGAATTTAGGATCCGTGGTGACAGAGTTACCTCTGGAAGCAGTCTTGTTTTAACTGCTTGTGTGAGATCTTTGTAGTACATTGAGAAATAGTGCTGCAAATACTGCTCAGTCATCTGTGATTCAAGATACTGAAAAGCAAAAGTTCGGATAAAAAGATGCTCCAAGATCTACTATGGAGGACAATTAAGATGCCAGACAAAAGAACAATTTCTTCAATAATTCAGACCACCTGAAAACTGAAATCAATCCCTTTCCTGATTGGAGATTAATAAGCTTGGGAGTATTGCTTAATTTTTAAGTTAATCGAAAAGATTTTGTTATCTGGAAAGTTCATGATGCACATAAAGAGAAGACTTAAGGAGATGAGGATTCAGTCGACAGACTTTGTCAGTTACCATGATCCTTCAGTCTCTAGGTTTTGAGTTCTCAAAAATGATCACATCTTTATAGCCTCTGCTGAATAAGAAGGCAGAAGAATAAGATGATGTTTTACTGTCCAACTGACTTCTCCAAATCTTAGTATGGCTGTTTTCAATTTATTAAGTACATATTACGGGAATATTCTTCTCAAGTTGAGGTCGCAGTCCGTTGTGCCTTTGTTTTGCATCTTTGCTTTCAGGTAGCAAAGTTCATCACTGAGACTCTCTATTCATGTGAAGGTGTCTTCATGACGTGCTTAGTAAGGAAGACTTCAACCAGACATGTAAAATGCAACTGTCTACAAGAAAGACAGTTGTATAAAATGTAGAGAGAAAAGAATGAAATTTGGTGCATGTTTAAAAAAAAAAACAAACCAGCAGCTACTTCCAGGTGGCTTGTGCTTAAAAGCAATGCTTGTAACACTTAAGGAACTTTAATAGGCCACAGTTAAAGGTACTAGAACAACAGTTGAAGGTGATTAGAAGATCAAGAAGAGGAGTGTAATCAAGGCTTGTGAAAATGAACTTCACCTCAGTTCCCTTAGTTAGGGCAACTGTTTGTTATTATTTCCTGAAACAGACTTTGGGTCTCTTGTTTCATGGAAATTAAGAGATTTGGCTGATGGAAGCATAACAATGGATTAAGAAATTTGGTATTTGGCAGCTGTGTGGTATTGCATTCTCCATTATGATTTAAAGAAATGACAGAAGCAAATCTAGACTTTAGCATGGGCTTTTGCTGCAAGCATGTAGACTCTTCAGTATAGTAAGTTCAAACTTTATCATCCAGACATTTCACAGTTATCCACCTCCAATCTGATCCATTTAGGTCTCTCTTTAGCTGTATCTTCTTTCTGCTGTGCTGAAAATAGCAGCCACAGAACATGCACACGCTATTTATCTTTCTAACAATTGTCTTTGCACTTTCTTTCATGCTGTACTCTTACCCTTTTTCAACTTAGAGCCACTCCTATTATACTGTCTGTAAGGAATCTGCCAACTAACGATAACTTCTTCAGCAACAGATGTAGACAATGATTGGAAAAGTTTCTGAAACATCAAGTTGTGCACATTAGTAATCTGTGTAACAGTGAGATTACTGTTACCCTTCTCCTTCCTCTTCTGCATACTTGTTGCCTCTTGTCCTTAATGTTATTTTAATCTTTTTGGGGCAGGGACTGTGTCTTCCTGTGATTAGCGTAGTGGAGCCCCAGCTATGATTGGGGTCTTCGAATGTTACTGACGTGCAAACAAATAGAAAACAAAAACAAAAAATTGGCCTCTGTGGATAAGGTACTGCACTGGGAGTGAGGAGAACTGATTTCTGTTCCCAGCGGGGTCAGTGACATGCTGTGAGACACTGTGCAAATCGCTTCAACCCTCTCTGCCTCCATTTCTCCATCAGTAAAGTGAGGATAATTCTTCCTTTATTAATAAAGTGCTTTGAAACCTACAGCACAAAAGCATTATAAAAGAGGTAAGTAGTATTACTATTAACAATAATACTCAAATACCCAACTCTTGTTCACTGCTAACAGGTTTCTGTACCATTTGGCTGGAGGATGGCACTGTTTAGATAGTGGATCTAGCTTTAGCTTTCTTATTACTAAAAAGCACCTTGTTTATGAAGACTACCGAGGAAAAAAACGAACTAGCAAGAAAAATAAAATCACACTTTCCATTTTTTAAGTGTGTGTACGTTCAAAACAGAAGTACATGAAGAATGTGCGGACTGTACCATTTCTGGAGCAACATAACACTTTCTTTTAAACCTTGCATTTTAATAAACCTTGCATTTTAAAATACAGTATCAGTGTGGCAACATATACAAAGCTTGTGTGTGTGTTTTTTAGCTTCTAGTAAAAAAATTCTTACTTCATTCTTTTTGCTTCATGTATTTTCCTACTTGATGACTTAGCTTACCACCAATTCTTGGTTCTTCTGCTTCCCTGCTTGTTTTGTCAAAGCTCCTTTTTAACTACCCTTTACCTTAGGCTTAAAAGATCCAAACTAAAATCCTTTTAAATTCTCCTGAGATACGGAAGTTGCAAAGGGGGAGATTGAGTTGGGTTGTGACATTGAATTTATTAGTGCATATGCAGTCAGTACTAGCCAATTCCATAACTGTTTAGGGTCACTCTGGAATATCATTCTCTTTTCATAAAGTAATTGAGGTCAGAAGTTCTTTCCATGGCTAAATTAAAAGTGTAGAATTATCTGATAGGAGGCTTTATCCCATGTGTAAACTTGGAGAATGTTACGTAAGTTCTACCTTCTAAATACTCTTGGCAGAGGAAAATGCCTTGGTATATCATTTGAGTTAGAAAACAGCTATGGCTTTTGATACTTTGTTGTTTTTAATTACTAAATGTGTGAATAAATACTTTCAGAATTAACACATGTAGCCTCTAATTTATAGGAGGGGGAGAGATGTTTGTGTCAAGGAGTAACTTTGTTGCCTTAAATAGCTACAATATGAATTCATTCATTTTTTTCATTCCGATGGAACTTCTGTTGAAGAATGTTGTATTTGAACTTTAGTATTTGAAATTCCTTTTCATAAATTTTGTCTCAGGTTTTTAAAATAGTTTATACTTACAAGCTTGGATATGATCTGTCTCTCTTCCAATGCCACTGGGTAAAGTCCTATTAATATTGATGTGCTAGAAGTGTAGACTAGGAAGCTCCAAAGAAATGTGGATGTGTCCAGAAATGTCTGTTCAGCCTTAGAGGAATCATGTAGTTATTCTCTGAGTTTTCTCTGATACTCTTGCTAAGTGTTTACTCTACAGTTCTTCTTTGTTCTGTCTTTAGAGCAAGAAAGTGTATAAAATAAAATAATGGAATGTGTTTTAAATAGTAATTCTTCAGTATGTGTGGGTCCATCTGTATGTACCTATTTTGTATTTTTAAATCTTATTTTTAAATTAGGGATTGCAGATAGGGACAAAAGAACTCGAGGAGATGGGAGCAAAGTTCTGTGTTGGCTTACTGCGTTTAAAAAGAATGGCCTCACCTTTGGAATACAATCTGCCTTCTAATCTGTTGGATATTGAAAATGAACTGATTGAGTCAAGCTGTAAAGTGACAAGGTAGTACACATTTATTATATTTACTTTTTTGTTTTTCAGGAAAAATTTCAGTTTCTCAAGAGAGGTAAAGATTCTCTCAAAAATGTTTTTCCACTCATCAAAAATAATGTTGATGTGTTGTGACCTGCAAATCTAACAATAATCTAAATATATTGGAAACCTATTTTGTTAATTCAGTTGCTTCAAACTTTTAAAGAAAACATAAATACAGAGTTAGACTATATGTCATATTTGTTGCTGGGATAAACACTGGCAATTTTAATGTCATCGGGGAGTTACTACATGCAGTAAAACTCAGTAGGTCTTAGGTCTCAATTTTCTCTTTGAAAGCTTTTTTTTTTTATTACTGGCTACAGTATTAAAAGGTATTTAGACAGACTTAAAGTATGTGAGTTAAAGCACTGTAAGAACTGTAAGTTTTTCTTCCAAACTTTTTTTTTCTTTTTTCCCCACTGGTAGAGATATATAACAACATTTAAAGAATTTAAAACGTGTGAAATAAGGTTTGGGTCACAGAAGAAATGTGTTGTATCTGCTCAGTAGCTAGCTTAATAAATTGCCAATTCTTAAAGCTCTAGATAGGCTTTCAAAAGTACACATACTATTGCATATTTCCATTCATGTAATTCATTACTGAAGCATCCACATGTACATGGTAATTTGGGATACACAGCAAATAAGTGATTTCAAATGTACAAGCATCTCTTCCTGAAAATCTGGTTAGAGATTAAATAAAGCAGAGTTCCAGACTTCAGAAGAGCATTAAATGAGAAAAGAGTAAGATGTACACACTATAATATATTATAATATATTACCACTTGGCATACTTAGATCTGAAAACGTTTTTATAGTGGCCTCTGCTGTAGCTCCAACTTAGCTAAAGCTAATACTGTGGAAATTTGGGGGGAAAATGAAATTTATTATTGGTTTTGTGCATCTGAAATGAGGAGGTGCTTGAGACTAAGACTTTCATTAGGTGCTAGAATAATGAGCAATTTGTCGGTAGACCATGCAAAACTAGCAGAGATATGGGAGGGCATCTGTGGTACACTGTGGAAGGGGGAGATAATGTTTAGTTCCAGCATTTAAACACGTAAGTGTTATCAGACTGTGGAGTACTGAGAAAGACTGGAGCTTGTGTTCATGCTTAGCATTTACAGATAATAATGAAAAGTGAAGTATAAGCTAAAAGGTGATAAGAACAATAGGAGTAACAATAGGAGAGTGTCTTAAGAAAGTGGCTAGAAGTGTATGAAGAGTAGCTGTGATGTGTAGGTATCCATCACTCCAGTGGTGGCTGGATCCCTCAGTATCATTTGCTCGCTAGTACAGCATTAGCATGCTTGTAATGGCCGGATTTTTACTGTCAGATCAAGTTGTGTACTTGGGTAAGGCTGAGTTAGTGATTCCTGGAAGAGATAGGATCAGAAAAAGGCTTTGGAGTAACGCACCCCCACCAGTGTGTAAGCCTCACTGGACTGTAGGTAGGCTCACTGGGAGAGAGTCATATGGCAGATGCTGAAAAAAGTAGGAAGTGCTCTACAGCTGTTGGAATGGCATTAGCATGGTGTCTCCAGTGCAGGCAAAACACAACATTTTAATCAGTAAGAATGCCTTGGTGTTGTTTACTGTACTAACATAACATTGATACCAAAAAAATGGTAGCAGCGGAGAGCTGCGCTCAGCATTTGTAACATTACTGTTCAGTGTATCGCTTTAAATTTTCATGTGATGTTGTATGAATTACTGTCAGCCTTGTAAGATAGGGTTTGAAAGAATAAATAAAATATCAGTGTCCTTGGTTTTACAAGTCAAAAACCATATTCTGCTATCTCTATCGTGTGTTTAAAAAAAAAAAAAAAGCGGAGGAGGGGAATAAACTATGAATGGCCTTGAACTCTTTTTCTTTTATGCCTTGCCTTGGTAAAAGTTGGCCATCAGAATGAATTAATGTAATTATCTGCTTTCTCTAAAAAGTCTCTTGCTTGTCCATTTGTGTAGTGTAGTAGTTTAATGAGCAATACTACAGGGAGATTAGCACAGAAAATCTGCTTCCACTGCTGTTATGCCGGGGGCTGAGATAGTTGATCATCAGGTAATTATGGAACGCAGCTCTCTTGTCCTAAGCTTTTAGGAAAAGATTAGGAAAACACAGATGCAGTGAGTTTTGTCTCATGGACAGGGATCAGCCTAAGGAGAAAAAAATTGAATTGCTTATGTATTGGTTTATATGTGTTGCCAGGGATTCTGGATATGTATCATCTGAAGGTAATCTGTTTAGAATTCTTCTTAAATATATCAGGAGCTTACTGGCTAATAGACATTTCACTTGTTCTTTGGGATGAGATGTAAGTGTTGACAAAAGAGACCAAAACTTGAGAAGTCAAAAATGTTAACTGCTAAGGAAGTGTCTGAATATGCAGAGACGCGGTAAGGAAAGATAAAGTCCACCTGGAGTTGAATCTGGCATGGGATTTCAAAGGCAACAAGAAGGGCTTCTATAAGGACGTAAGTATTAAAGGAAGACTAGGGAAGACATGGGCCCACTGCTGAATGGGGCAGGAGCCCTGTTGACATACAACATGGAAAAGGCTGAGGTACGGAATGCCTTCTTCACCTTTAGCCTTGACTTCAGTAATCTAAGGACCCAGAGACTCGGGAAAGTCTGGAGCAGGGAAGACTTACCCCTGGTGGAAGAGGAACAAGTTGGAGAATACTTAAGTCCAGCAAACTGGACTTACCTAAGTCCATAGGTCCTGATAAGATGCACCCACGAGTGCTAAGGGAGTTGGCTGATGTCACTCCGAGGCCGCTCTCAGTAATATTTGAATGATCATGGTGATTGGGACAGGTGTCTGAAGACTGGAGGAAAGCAAATGTCATTCCTATCTTCAAGAAGAGCGAGAAGGAGGACCCAGGGAACTACAGGCTGGTCAGCCTCACCTTGATCTCTGGGAAGGTGATGAAACAACTAATCCTGGAAAGCATTACCAGCCACATGAAGAAGGAGGAGATTATGCGTAGTCAAGACGGATTCGCTAAGGGAAGTGAATCTTGACCAACCTGATAACCTTCTACAAGGAAATGACTGGCTTGGTAGACAAGGGGAATGAAGTGGATGTTGTCTGCCTTGACTTCAGTAAGGTTTTGACACTGTCTGCCATAGGATCCTTCCAGAGAAGCTGATGAAGTATGGGCTGGATGCGCAGACAGTGAGGTGGATTGAAAACTGGCTGAACAACTGGGCCCACAGGGTGATGATCAGAAGCACAAAGTCTAGTTGGAGGCCAGTAACTAGCGCTGTACCCCAGGGCACAATACTGGGTCCACTTCTGTTTAACATTTCATTAATGATCTGGACAATGGGGCAGAGTGTGCCCTCAGCAAGTGTCCAGACGACACCAAACTGGGAGTGGCTGATCCAGAGGGACCTCGTCAGGCTGTTGAAATGGGCTGACAGGAATCTCATGAAGTTCAGCAAGAAGTGTGAAGTCCTGCACCTGCGGAAGAACCAGTACGTGCTGGGGGCTGACCATCTGGAAGGCAGCTTTGCAGAAAAGGCCGTGGGTGTCATTGTAGGCACCACATTGAACATGAGCCGGGAATGTGCTGTGGCTGCGAAGAAGACTAATGGTATCCTGGGTTTCATTAGGAGGAGTGTGGCCAGCAGGTCGAGGGACGTGATTCTTCCCCTCTCCTCAGCACTGGTGAGGCCACACCTGAAGTAGTGTCTGGCTCTGGGTTCCCCAGTATAAGAGACACATGGACATACTGGAGAGAGTCCAGTGAGGGGCCCCTAAGGTGAATCAAGTGACTGAAGCATCTCCCATGGGAGGAAAGACTGGGAGAGCAGGGACTGTTAGTCTGGAGAAGAGAAGGTTCAGGGGGCATCTTATCAAGATGTACAAATACCTGAAGGGAGGTTGTAAAGAAGATAGAGCCAGGCTCTTTCCGGTGGTGTCTGGTGACAGGATAAGAGGTAATGAGCACGAACTATAGAGGAAATTCCATTTCAGCATTATATATATAATGGTTTTATATATATATTTGTTGTGAGGGAGCCCAAACACTAGAACCAGTTCCTATGGAGGAGATGGAGTCTTTATCCCTGGACATATTCAAAAGCTGTCTGGACGTGGTCCTCGGCAACCTGCTGAAGGTGGCCCCACTTGAGCAGGGGTGTTGGACAAGATGACCTCCAGAAGTCCCTTCCAACCTCAGCCATTCTGTGAGAAGGGGGAAGTGTCTTTAAGTCTGTCTTCAAAAGACACTGAGTGCTGGTGTTGTGAGCAGTTTCAAATTGGAGTGCTAATTTAGGTAATTAGAATACAAGGTTCTGAAACCACAATCCAGTTGCATTTCTCTCCCTCAGAACTTTCACAGCCAAGCTCCTGATCCCTTGGCATTTCTGCCATATACGCTTTAATAATTTTGCAAATACTACTTCCTCCATAAATACAGGCTGGCTGTAAGGCAGTTTCACTTGACAACTCTTGTGGATGGCCTCTAAACGATAGTCTTTCAGCAAGGGCATGTATTTCTTGAGTTCCTTGTGTGCGTTTGATGCAGCATGTTGAACTTCAAAAATTAATACTGACATGTTGCCTATTCACCATACTTTCTAGTTTTTAAAAGTTTTACTTTTCTCTTCATTTTCAGCCACTATCATATGTTAATAAGACTGTAATATTTTTCCCATTCATAAGTGTTATTTCATTGTCAATTTTATTAGAACTAAGCTTCAGTATAAATGTATCTCTTTGAAATACTAAACCTCAGTTACGGCATTTTGAATCAAGATGTGGTTGTGAGTAATTAATTATCAGGGTGGCATTGAAAAACAGCCCCAGATTTCCACATAACTTTATATTAATAGCTGCCTCAGGTACAGAATCTGTATTTTATATTGTCTCTCTGGAGAAAGTTAGCATCCCAGTTCACAGGTAGTTAGTGGCTGTGCTTTGGAAAAAAAATTATGTGATGGATTTCTCAGTTTGTTA